CGAATTTTTCTTATGTAAACATATTGTAAAAGATCCGATCTTCAAAATAAAAAAAGTTTCAATATCTAAAGTGGTTCTTGAGTTATGTATGTTATGTGTTAAAAAGTTGAGTTTTTAAATTATCGCGATTACTGACGTTTTCTTGTACTCTCTAAAAAATGACACTCTAACGATATCCTTATAATTCCATTTCAGATGCTCAAAAACATGTCTAATGATTTTATCTAGTTATCTTTTTAAATAAGTCTTAAATAAAGCAGTATGCGATCGTGATTTTACTTTACCTGATGTAGAAAGACGTACCGGCAACGCCGCAACAGCACACTGTCGCATTTCTCTCACTCCTACTTTCATACATGTAAATACCGACGCAAAAGTAACAGTTGGCAGCACGGTATATCAATCAATGCAAGTCATATACTAACATACCAAATCTCGTTATTGTACCTGTACAATTAAAAAAGTTATAAATGTGAGCTACTAACAAATATCTTTCAAATAACAGTGCGTTATTAAAATCAGAAACAATGACGAGGTTTAATCAAAAATCGCATTATAGATTGTAACGAAGTTACTATTTTTTTATATATATTTAATTTTCTTTTTCAATTTTTCCGCCGATTACGAATTTACTTTATTTAATTTATCTTTCTATTCTTCCGTACATTAGAAAAATTTGATTCTTTTTCGAGAAAATAGTACTTTTTAAATGAAATTTTATTTGTTGGATTAATGTACGGACCGAATCTATTAATTAGCCTAAAAAGCGCTAATTAATTAATTAAACGCATTCCACGCGCTCGATGCAGCCCGCTTGGTACCGCTGGTACTAGATCGGGTATCGAGACGCGCACATCGCTCGGCGCACGCCGCCACCACGACGGTTCTCAACTGGAGGGAAGGACTGGGGAAAATAAGAAGCGACGCGCCAGCCATAGGAAGGCAGTTTCTGCCCCAGCCACCAACCGAGAAGAAGCCACCGGAGTCCCTACACCACCACCACCGACAGCACCAGCACCAGCAGCAACAGTCACCGCAGTTCGCCAAGCAGAAGCTAGCCCCAAGACACAGCCGCCGCCTAGCAGTTGGAAAGCCTGCCGTCCTCCGTCGTTTCTAATCCGCCGTCGCTCCGAAACCGCCCGCAAGATTTGTTCCAACCCAGTGACGAGACTTTACGCATCGGAGCCAATTTGAGCGCTAGATGTCGCAACTAGCCACCTACACATCGCCGTGCCATCCGCCTTTTTGAAAGAAGAAAGACATTTTTTTTTTGCATTTAAAATAAAGCTTTGACTTGTAAATAGTTTTGGAAAACACGACCTGCCCTTTATTTTACAACTGTTGATTAGAGTTTAATTTATTTTCCCCACCTCTGAGCTAAAAGAACTGTAACACTGCCATACTTCTCCACTGTTTAAAAGCTACCCGAACCGGCACTAGTGGGCCTCTAACCACTTATTAACTAGAGGTGGCGCCCGAGATCTTCTAAGCAACAATACAAGAAACTTAAACGTCAGTAACAGAGCTCAGGAAGAAGCAAACGTTACAAGTTTGGATGTCCGAGAACAGGGACGTTGCAAATTTGGCATGCGAGAGCTACGTTACAAAATTTGGCACCCGAGCAGGGACTGTGATCCGTCCCTAAAAAGCGCTAATTAATTAATTAAACGCATTCCACGCGCTCGATGCAGCCCGCTTGGTACCGCTGGTACTAGATCGGGTATCGAGAGGCACACATCGCTTGGCGTACGCCGCCACCACGACGGTTCTCAACTGGAGGGAAGGACTGGGGAAAATAAGAAGCGACGCGCCAGCCATAGGAAGGCAGTTCCTGCCCCAGCCACCGGAGTTCCTCACCACCGCCGATCCAACGAAAAAAATTTGTAACGTAGCTCTCGGATGCCAAATTTGCAACGTCCCTGTTCTCGGACACCCAAATGTGTAACGTTTGCTTCTTCCTGAGCTGTGTTACTGACGCTTAAGTTTCTTGTATTGTGGCTTAGAAGATGTCGGGCGCCACCTCTAGTTAATAAGTGGTTAGAGGCCCACTAGTGCCGGTTCGGGTAGCTTTTAAACAGTGGAGAAGTATGACAGTGTTACAGTTCTTTTAGCTCAGAGGTGGAGAAAATAAATTAAACTCTAATCAACAGTTGTAAAATAAAGGGCAGGTCGTGTTTTCCAAAACTATTTACAAGTCAAAGCTTTATTTTAAATGCAAAAAAAATGTCTTTCTTCTTTCAAAAAGGCCGATTGCACGGCGATGTGTAGGTGGCTAGTTGCGACACCTAGCGCTCAAATTGGCTCCGATGTGTAGAGTCTCGTCACCGGGTTGGAACAAATCTTGCGAGCGGTTTCGGAGCGACGGTGGATTAGAAACGACGGAGGACGGCAGGCTTTCCAACTGCTAGGCGGCGGCTGTGTCTCGGGGCTGGCTTCTGCTTGGCTAACTGCGGTGACTGTTGCTGCTGGAGCTGGTGCTGGTGCTGTCGGTGGTGGTGGTGTAGGAACTCCGGTGGCTCCTTCTCGGTTGGTGGCTGGGGCAGGAACTGCCTTCCTATGGCTGGCGCGTCGCTTCTTATTTTCCCCAGTCCTTCCCTCCAGTTGAAAACCGTCGTGGTGGCGGCGTGCGCCGGGCGATGTGCGCGTCTTGATACCCGATCTAGTACCAGCGGTACCAAGCGGGCTGCATTGAGCGCGTGAAATGCGTTTAATTAATTAATTAGCGCTTTTTAAGCTAATTAATGGATTCGGTCCGTACATTAATCCAACAAATAAAATTTCATTTAAAAAGTACTATTTTCTCGAAAGAGAATCAAATTTTTCTAATGTACGGAAGAGTAGAAAGATAAATTAAATAAAGTAAATTCGTAGTCGGCGGAAAAATTGAAAAAGAAAATTAAATATATATAAAAAAAATAGTAACTTCGTTACAAGGTTAAATTATTAACGCGAAAGAAACAGCTCATTAATTCCTACGCTAAAAAAATAACCAGGAACCCTTATGTGCCGCTGTTTGTTTTTTCTACGGCAACAACATCCGCAATGCATATATTTACGCGAAACAATAAAAATCTCGGCCGCAGCCAACTTCATTGTATAAGAGAGGAGAGAATGGCGCCGCGTTTTATTTTGTATACGTTGTTGAATGTATGATTTATCGCCCTCCCCTTTGTTCTCCACGGTCACATTCAACATGTCGGAAAACCATATTTTGTTTTGGGATCGGTTTTTCCAGATACGCTCCACTCTATACGCTAAATAAACTTTTATCTGGACCTAATCATGTTTTATTTATGTGTTTCCGTTTTGCCAGAATCTGAAGAAAAAAAGATAGTTGTAGCATACTTTTATTTTCTTTTTAAGAGTCCATTTTACCAGTCCGAAAAAGTAGCAAAATAAGCGTTTGACATTTAACTTTTTTATGTAAAATTGGCTAGGTATTTTTATACAAATGAAAAAGGATATTAAAGATAAATGATTATACTATATCCGTATTGTAGCACATTTTTAGACCACTTCTTTATTTTTAAAATTTTGATGGTCAAACATCAACAACATATTCCTTATGTTTGGACTAAATTTTCTCGAAAAGAAAGACATCATTTAAAATTCCGTTAATACACGAAAATAGATTGAAGTTTTGTGATTACAGTGATATATAATTTATATAGTTTTGTAATAAATCGCTCGCTATTTTATGGCAAATACTAAAGCTCTGCAAACCTTAGTTAAGCCTTAATTAAAGCACGTGTGTTTGGATGTTTGGGCGTGGCTTAACACGGCAGGATCGGGCTAAGCCTTAGGCAGATATCTGAAATATAATATATATTTCCTTCGGCCACACACCCGCGTTACCCGACCCCTAAGAGCGACCCGAAAGTACAGCGTAATAGACTCTTAAGTAATATTTGTTTAATTCATTGCAGTATCTTAATAGCCATTTAATAAGAGCAATCAAAATAGAGCTGTATTTTTTTAGAAACTATATTATTCTATATTATTAAATTTCATTTAACAAATACAAGGTGTCCCAATATTCCGTGGACATAGAACCACTACGAATTTTTGGAATCAAAATAAGTTCATTGGGTACAATTACGTCTATACAAAAGTGATTCGTTTTTCTGCTAGAGGGCATCAAACTTTAAAAAAATAAACATATTTTTTCAGATATTTTGCAGTTATTCCGATTTGAACGAGATTTTGGGTGTCTATGTTTTACTAAGTGCTTTAACATTTGGCTTTCACAAAAATCAAGAAAAAGTACGGGAAGGGTGAAAACTACCCCAACCCCTACATAAACTTTAGTATAAATATGTTCCAATTGCACCAACGACAAATTTTTTTGAATGGTAATATTTATTACATTTGTTGTCTCTTGTAAAACAACGCTACATGACATAGTTTTTGTGAAAAAAATGTTTGAAGATTTTTTTCAAAAGCACACCTAGAAAATTTACAGGGAGTTCCAATATTCCATGCACATAGAACAACTACGTATTTTTTGGGTCAAGTGGCTGTCTGTGAAGACGACCACCGAACGATGTGTTCTTAACTGCCTTATTATTTGTTCTACACAATAATGGCGATAAGAGGAACAATATTCACATATTAATAAAACATAGCAAACCTAAGATTTAAAACTTGAGCCACACACGTTTTAAACATTTCCATGAGTTTATTATTGTATAATAAAATGGCAATCAGGTACAAAAGGATTGTGACAAAAAATTAAACCGTTTTTAGTAACGACATTTTAGGAATTTAACTAGACCTGGGACTGTAGTTCTGATATATTATAATCATCTCTGATAGTATAATAATTATAATGTAAAAAACTATAAAACTAAAAGAAAATATTTATAAATTAACGATAATTTAATCATTTTTAAACATCGAATACTATGACTACTTATTACATATTATATTACTAATTAACACTTTTCGCAGAAGCTTTTTTTGTCACTTATTGTTAATTAATCTATATTTTTGCATTACAGAAATTGTTTAACATACTTGGCGAGACTCTAGCCAAAATGCAACAAGACGAGGAAGCTGAAAAATGGTACAGAGCCGCTCTGGCTGCCGAACCAAATCATGTTGCTGCTCACATCACTTACGGAAAGCTACTGGCAAAAAACGTAAGTTTAAAATATTCAAATTTTATTTTTAAAACATGAAATATTTATTCTTTATTTTGTTTTAATTTTATTATTGCCTATAGTAAATTTCTCAAATTGGTTTTAGCCACGAAAACTTGAACTAATGTAAATAAAAAATATATATAAAATTTCTAAAAAGTTTAGATTATTTGACATCTAAACGTTCAATGTAGAAAATGTTACCAACAATACAGGTAAAGAATTATTGTGTAATTATTTAAGTCCATTATATTTACACAAAAAATAACAATGTAGCATATTCTATTAGATTTTAATTATTAGGCGAGTGGCAACTATATTGGTACAAAATAGGTTGCTAAAATTTTTCCGATATATCACTCATTCTCCGACGATTAATCATATCTTATTTTTATACGTTTTTGATTGATTGATGCATTCTACTTTTAATAATGGATGTTGGCGATAGAAGCGATAACGTAGCTCTTCTCTATTTTTCCCTTTATTCTTTGCGGTATTTGTCTAGCTATTAAGGGCACATTTTACAATAAAGGTCATTATTTTTCATCCATTATATATTACCTTTAAAGCTACTTAAATATAATTAAACTCAACTGAACTCAATTTAGGTAAATAAACTAAACCCAACATATCATTTAGTTACTAATATTTTTAAATTATTTTTTATTAATAACTTATATTATCTTCAGATATCGGAAACAACCTCTACACTATGCGGAGAACTCTTCAAATCAGGCGCAAGTCGTGTTTCGTCGCCCAAATTTGTCGCGTTTCGATTTATTTCCAGTTGTCTTGACCTACTTCGATTTGCCTGGACCTACGTTCAATTCCTAAAAGCGCCTGAAAACTACTCGTGGAGAGGGCGTGTTTTTTTTTGCGTTTCCTGTTGCCTCGCTCAATTTTGTTTCGTTTTGAGCTCTTTCCAAAACGTGGCGGTATCTGTACCCGAGGCAAAGGACTTTTTTTCATAAATCTCAGTGAAATAAGTAAACCTAGACGTTTCGAAGATACATGTTATTACGGTGATATTTCGTTAATTACATCTCGTTTTATGTTGACATATATTCCACAAAATTAATATTTGAACACGCGTTTATAATATGCATAGTAGATATTTAAGAACAAAACTTTTCACTCAATCTGCAGAAATATAATTACAATATGTTTAATTTTATTACCTTTACGCGGCCTTAATTGATTATTATAACAACGGTATTGCTTGATGAGTAATACTGACAATATCGTCAATATATCGAGCTGATTGGGAAAACTATTGATTGACCCGATGCCAATAAAATATACTTTTATATATAATAATACCATGGTTTGATATAAATCCATTTAAAAATAAGAAATAATTAGACAATATTTAAATAGTTTAACACCGTGTATTATATCTAATAAAAGGCGGACCGCCAGAACAGTTTGTCACTGTCTATTGCCCTGCAGTTTTACGATTTTAAGTTTTGGAAATATATTTTTTTATTATATTCTAATTAATAATGTTAGACAATGATTAAAACTAAATATTCTTGTGTAACCTTAGAAAAGTAGCCAATTTAATCTCCCATCAGTAATTGTGTTTTAAATGCACTGTTTTTGATTTTTCGTATCAGTTTAATATAGTGGTACTACATTACACTTCATTACAAATTAATTATATTTATTCATACTCCATGTTTATTTATTATTCTGAAGCCATCATATAGAGCGACTAACGAGCCGCCACCTCAAGGAAGGCAATGGCAAACCACCTTGAGTATATTTGCCTTGTACAGCCTCTCAAATAGTGCCGTTCGGATTCGGTAAAAAACTGTAGGTCCCGTGTACTTGTGAAACACTGACGACACACATCAAAAGTACATGCGAGAGGTAGCCGACGCTCTGTATAGAGTATGGCACTGTAAGAAGAAGAAGAAGAAGCCACCATAACGTTTAACCTTGATTGCTTCGTGCTATTTCACAAAATAGTACGATAAATAATATGCCCGTGTTATAAAAATTAGTTCCCACGTTTCCTGAAATATATCGAGACGCGCCGTGATTGGTTGTATGTTTTTTATTGTTAATCTGGGTTAATAATAAAAACCAAACAACCAATCACGGCGCGTCTCAATCTAATGCAGGATACGGGGGAACTAGGTTTCAAAACACGGGCTTATATTTTAGTTTACTGCTGAAAGTATTTTCAAAAATGTTTTGCGAAATATTTCCAGACATATTTCGTAAAATATTTCGGGAATAGTGTAGGAGTTGTTTAATACTTTTATAGCTCATACTGAAAGAGATTTTAAACATTTATGCAACAAAATAATAACTGTTATTTCGACTATTCATTGACTTTTTTATCTACAAAATGACACGATCAGCTACACTGCATTTTTTCTTTTCGCTGAATATGCGCGTTTATCAAACTGCAAAAATGTAAAAGAGATTTTGTGAAATATTACACAATAACCCTGAAATTGACCGAAATTGCTTCGAAATTTCCTTAAAATACCCCAAAATTCCTCGAAATACCTTAAAATTTCGCTGCAATTCCTTGTGTTTGTATAAAATCCTCCTCGAACGAGGTCAAGCAAGGAGCTCTAGACACACCTCTATGCAGAAACACCTCTTTAGTCGTTTTCATAAAACGTCGAGTGGGCGTTAAATGTGCATAATTGACCCTAAAAAGCTTAGTGTCGTATATCTTTGCCTCGATTCACTGTCCTGCATATTCATAAGGAGCGCGTGGCATCGTCATGAAGAGGATTTTTGTTGTTTTCCGGATGAAGAAGAAGACGAAGTTTTCTCGCTGCGCTCCCTTCCCAGCAATTAGTCTCTAATTCTCCGAAAATTTCAAAGTATAAAAGGGATTACAGCGGAGCGATAATTAAGATGGCCATGGCAGAAGGCTTTTTTATCTAATTACGGAAAGTAATCTACTAAAATGCTCTGCGATTAGTGTTGAAATGATGGAATGAAGATTTTTAGGAAGTAATAATTAGAAATTTGTAAAATTAGTTTAACCGCGATGGTTTGTAATACTGGGGGCGTCTCAAAATAGGAATGGCAACTTTTGGTTTTTAAATGGCACCCTCGGTATATTTAAACTTTATTTCATAGAATTATTTTAGGCATATCTTAACTTAATTCGGTATAGTCTGTCCAACGACAAGATCCTTGACAGTGATAGATGTGTCTGTCATTTTAATTTCAAAGTAGCTTATTTTATTTTACAAAGAAATAACTTGGTACAACTGGAACGCATAGCAGGAAATGTATTTAAAATTTGACATAGAATATTATTTTCTTTTATCTATGAATTTGACTGATAAGTGATTAGTTCAACATATTTTGTGAAAAAAAAACTATAAAACTGAAAATGTATGTATGTTTTAATACAAGACAAACAAGAACAAAACACCACTTACCAAAAAAATATAAAAAAAGAATAATTTCTTACTTTCAAGCTTCAAGAAACTTCCCGCATTTATTATTATATTTATCAATATAACTTAACTTATGTACAAATACAAATTTGTAATATTCCACAGCAACAAATAAAACAACATAAATAAAACAAACTATTTTATTAATAATAACACTTACCAAATTTTATATCTACCTTAAAGGTTGATTGATTAACTTTAATTTTATTTTTTTTTAAACCTGTAGCTTTTGAAATTTTTCGGCAGTACTAAAATCCATTATTTACCTATCGTGTGATGTCGATATTTTACAGCTACTCCAGTAGTATATGTTTAGTACGATCCTTGTAGCATATACGAGATGCACTTATCTAAGATGAGATGGTATACAAACTTTATTGATGGTAACTTTATTGGTGTATAAAATTTTCTGCCTGTAGAAGCGAGTGTTAACTAGGTATAAACTGTGGGTCTACAGTTAATTTTCCCTCGGTTTTTCCGCCACTTAACTTTAAAAGACACAAAACACACGTAATAAAACGAATCAAAATGCATCATCTTCCAAAACGCAGATATTTGACATAAGTTGACAATAAATTGTATGAACCGCATGTTACAATTTCAAATAAACCATATGTCAAAAGTTGACAAATGCTATGTCATTCTATTGGGAGTTGGGTCATTTTCTATCGTAAGTAAAGTAAAAAAATACCGAGTGTGTCATTTAAAATCAGAAGCTGTAGTCATTTCCAGTTAAACAGGAAGGGGTCAAAAACAACTGAATCGTGGGCAAAAAAAATCTCGTTTTTTTTTCAGTTAAATAAAAAAAGCTATAAAGGTGAGCCACTTTTAAGACACACCTGGTATAGCCGATTTAAATACGGGATTATCAGTGCCGTTTTAATTTTATTTTAAAATTGTAGGTAGCTGATGAGTTTTACAGATTTTTTCCCAATGAACGGCCTCAGAGATGGCTTGAGAATGATTTCTGTCAAATTTTACGTAAAATTATATGCAATTTGTAATCGATCATCAATTTGAAGCCAACTGAACCCCATTATTTGTTTCAACTATACAGTATAAAGTAAAGTAGACTGAGTACTTTGCTGGTTCTGTTTTAAGTTGGGTCAGTAAATGTATTAGGTATTAAAATTGTTTCTTCAAAAAAGGCCTATGGCATTTTTTTGTCCGTTAGGCAAATTCGTTTATTACTAAACCACTGCTGGCAATTAGTCTCCTTTGGATTAACGCCAGCAGTGTTTACAAAAATAACTATTATATTGAAGTGAAACTTCTTTCCGCGAGATGGGAGTAAACATTCAAGGCCGTGACACACCAAGGCCTTGACACGACATGACCTTAACAGCAACAAAAAAGTGGTCAGGAACGCGCAAACATCAAAAAACATTTGATTTAAAGCTAAAAAAAGCATTATAATATACTTTATGCTGTACCTGGGTACCTGGTATATCCTCTGTTTGTGTGCTAGAAAGTACATGTTTATGCCTATTTTCATCAATAGCTTCTGAATAACGGTCTAGGTAAAGCATTTAGCTCATTCATTTTTTTTGCATTTAGCTCATTCAT